CTGCTTGCGTTGTAGTGAGAAATATTTTATTATTTTATTATGTTTTATTTGTATTATTTTATTACTTCCCTTCTACGTGACTTTACCGAAAAAACCAAGAAGATGAATCCCTGCAGTCACGAAAGCTTTAAATCGAAATGCATGGCCTCTTAGAGGTGCCTTCGAGACCTCCTTCATCCCTCCAGCCGTGGCGTGAGCAAGCAAGCAATTGCAGGGCTGCACCTTTAACCTTTCAAACATGTTTGAAGTGTTCCAGAAATGATTGGTTTGAAATAAAATATGCGAGCAGATAATTCGACCAAACATATATACGGCGGGAGTGTTTTACCCACAGTTGTAAAGCATCTTAAAATGCAGCCACATTTATGCGGTTTATAGACACAATTTACATCTTATAGATAATCTTACGTAATAATAATAATCATCATAATGCACTTCATTTATCGAGAAATTCTTCACTTAGTTTCAAGACCTTTTCAGGAGAGTGATGTATTGGGATGTTTGGACAAATTCCTTTACTGAGTGTTTGGCATGTGGGAAGAAACTAAAGGACTTGGTAGAAAACCCGTGGCATACAAGGACGCAACACTCAAAGCTCCACGCAGACAGGTTCACGAATCCAATTCTGTATTCCTACTTGGCCACCTCATATCACAAATGGCATCAATTGAAATGCATTTTTCCCCATGTTTTTGCCCCGATGGACACCAACATTTTATCACCTCCAAACCTTAAATGGTCTTGGCTAGATGCTGTAGTTTAATGCTCCTGCGGATGTATTCATCTGGCGGGGCCCACGAGCTGTCTCAGAAAGTTGGTCCTGTCGTCTTATCACAATCTAAACAGCCGCCAAAAATACACCAGCCGCCTCTTGGGATTTAGCAGATATGAACGCTGCCGGTTTAACCCACACCCACCGCTACCTCTCTCTGCCAAGCTCTAATTCTAGATTTGAAGCTTTCGTGACTGCAAGGATTCATATTCTTGGGTTTTTTCGGTAAAGTCACGTAGGTAAAACATTCAAATTAATAAAAGTAAAATAAAATAAAAATCACGACGTTTCGGGTTTTCTACCAAGTCGTTTAGTTTCTTCCCACATTGCTGTATCAAGTAAAAAGATACAGCAATTTTTACTTGATACAGCTGTCGTGGCTGTGACGGTTCCACCTGAAGACGGAAGCTTGTGTTGCCTCCGATACGTCGTGATTTTTATTTTATTTTTATTAATTTTAATGTTTTACCTACGTGACTTTACCGAAAAAACCTAAGAATATGCCAAGCTCTATTTGTTGCCGGCGACCACCAATTTGCAAGGAGTCAAGTGGTTGTCGTGCAGCGATACTGGGCTCCAACCCAGGAATGTGGAATGACCATCTTCATTTTGGGCTTATCCAGTACTCCGCAGGTTTAATCCACGCCCACCGTTACCGCTCTCTGCCCACGCAGATGTCGCAACCGGGTACCCGATACCCGTACCCTACCCGATACCCGGCTACGGGTACCCGTTTGCGACCCTGGTGCGGCTGGGTACGGGTACGGGTAGGCCGTGAGTCACTGGTGAGTCACCGTTTGTCACTCATTTCCCAACGTCTTGTCTCTTCTCACAATTCAAGTTCCTAGAATCAACCCACCCGCGCGTGCAACATGGCTTCATCCCAGAGGTCGCAATCAGGTACCCGATACCCGTATCCTACCCGTACCCGGCTGGTACGGGTAGTTGTACGGCGATACCGAGCCCCAATCCAGGAATGTGGAATGGGTATTTGCTGGTTTGACCTTCGGGGCTGCCAATATAGACGAGTACTGTGCCACGCTCCCTTGAGCGTAGGAGGAGACGCTTCTGAGAGCTATTGCGTCCTTGCACTTCATCGCTCGGTGCTCACCCATGCACGCCAGGCCGTGATGGCTATTGGGAGAAATGGGTAAATGGGAGGCTGTGTGTGTGTGTGATTGTGATTTGACGTGGGTGGTTGTGGATGAGAGTTAAGGTGACTGGAGCGAGGGAAAGGGGCACGTGAGGTTGCTGCAAGAGTGGCTGAAATGTTTGATGATCTCAAGGGCAGTTTTCTTGATTTTTTTTATTTGTGCAACCACCTGCTGTGCCGGAGCTTTTGTCTCGGCTTAAAAAACACGAAATGAATATCGCCAAACAACTTTCTGTAAATGAAACGCAATATGTGTCATTGCTGTTATCTGTTGAGCTCCCGTGATGCGATTCTGCAAGTCGCAAAGTGAGAGAAATATTTTCAATTTAAGCCGGGCGTGTGCTTTTCGACGAGCAAAGTCAGTCATTTGTATGCCACGCAACTCCACATGTGCTGAGTCTATCGACGTCAATTCAAACTGATTGCACGCCAGCTTCCTTCAAACTTGCCGGTGCGTTTAATGCATCACGCTGTAAACTGCAGACACCAAACTGTAAGCCACTGTATCATTCTGACCTCCTTCTGCCTCTGCCAACGATGCGTCTCCCGATCGTAAGACGCACTATTCTTTTCCCTGTATTTTAAAGATAAAATTGGGGGGGGGGGGGGGTGTACGTCTTATAATTCGCAGATTGCATTGCTTTGCGGAAGACGCGTTCTCATATTCTCCATCGTGATCGATGACCGCCCAGAGGGCAGAAGAAAATCAACTGCTCTCCAAATCATCTTCTACAAAACATCTCTCCGCTTTTTGAAAGAGCTCACTCCGTTATCATCTTCTTAAAAGATGGCTCTACGGTAATAATACATTGTCTTCAACGTGACGTGCTTTCATCTATTTGTTCGCAGCAATCTTGCAGAGGGCGTTTCTCCCCATTTTAAAACTGCGCGTTCATAATCATCTGCTCGATAACGGATCTCCATACTAACCAGTTACCGTTTACAATACGCTTGTTTTCAAAATGACCCCAGAGGATATGCTATGTAAACATATTTCTGATCATGAGAGGATGTTCATGATACAGGTGGTGTGTGCCATGATGTGTGCATGTGCACTGCTGCCATTGCCAGCCTCTTCCTGTATTACTTTCAAATATTTTTTACAGATTTTTTTCGCTGGAGTTTTTTTTTTTCTTTCTCAGATTTTATCACCAGTCTAACCCCATTTCCTCTGATAAAATTACCCGGGATTTACCCAATCTGATTTGGATCCCATAATCTAAGCCGGTTTGAGCCTGGATAGTTTTCAGGCAGATAACCACTGTGGATCACAGAGTCGTTATAAGCCGTGGAACTGTAGGTGCGTACGTAATACCAAGTCAGATAGTAGGAGGCTGCAGGAGGGGTCTTGAAGGTCGAATGTCGATTTTATAAGGAAGAGAGAAGCTCTGGTGAGGTGTTTTAGCATTAGTCACGATGACCACTTTAATTTGTTACAAGGCCGACCAAATGTCCCTTCTACATTGCAGTCGGTTGAGCCTCATGTTTCACAAAAGGGAACGACCACGACATTAATCCCCTTAATAAAAAAAAAGGTTTGCAGTTGAATCTATCTGATGCAGTTGGCAAAATTTAATTATATCTGACAAAACATGTTCATGGCATCAACGATGGCACTGATAGAAAAAAAGACAAAATAATTTTTTTTGGTGCCATACTCATTAATTATCTTAACAAAAGGCCAGTCATTTTGGCATGTTTTGATGTTGTAAATTAGCTGATGCAATGGAATTGTATGGACTAGCAGTGTGCAATTTAACAGTACAACAATGTAAGGGGACACAATGGCTGTGAGTGAGCTGCCGAGCAATTGGAGTCAATGCCAGGCAACCAGTTGCAACCAGTTGCAACCAGCTGCAACCAGTTGCGAGTTAACTGTGTATAATATGTACAAAATTACTGTGTATATATAAAAAAAACACAAATTTAAGTCGCGAATTTAAGTCTGCATTTCTTAAGAGTTGAACAAAGCTATAACTTTTAAAGGAATTAATCCTGGCAAAATTACCATCACAACTTGCTAGTCTCGCCAGGTTAAACATCCCTCATTTTATACTGTTTGGTTCTTTCGGTAAAGTCACAAAATAATAGATCACGACGTTTCGATCGCAACACAATCAATCGTCATCAGGTGGGACAACCACAGCAAGAAAAAAACACTTCAGCAGTTGACGATTGCTTGTGTTGCGATCGAAACGTCGTGATCTATTATTTTGTGACTTTACCGAAAGAACCAAAGAGTATGGATTCCTGCAGTCACGAAAGCTTCAAATCAAGATCCCTCGTTTTAGCAGACCATAACTGCAAACTAAAATCACCAGCTTTTGTGACACATTTTTTTGGGGTTAAATCGTGTAAATATAAATGTGTCGTGAAACACGCCACCACCCGACACAGCCAATTAGTACGTTTTTCACGTAAACAAAACGTATCAATGAGTTACTCCTTCAGCACACCGCTGTGTAGGAGAGTAAACCCACAACATTCCAACACACCGCTGTGTAGGAGAGTAAACCCACAACATTCCAACACACCGGTGTGCCGAACTAGTAACTAATTGGTACGTTTTGTTTACGTGACAAACCTTACTAATTGGCTGTGTTGGGTGGTGGCGGGTTTAACGACACATTTATATTTACACATTAGAAGCTCCCTCGCCCCACTAAAAAAACATGTATTGTGGATAATATTATTTGCGAAAGCCTATGTGTTAAACTTTCACCACACATGTACGTCTGCATTCCTTGAGAGTTGAACAATCTATACAGTAGAGTACTTATTTTTTTTTAAGAAATGAACCCTGGCAAAAAAATTACCATCACAACAAAATTCCCGCAAGCTTAAACACCCCCCTTCCCCGTGCTAATTTGACCAGAAAATGTGTTTGCTCAGAGGTTCCCAACGCAACAGCCTCGGCTCATTGCCGCCACGGTCACCGAAACCACAATGTGGGTGCCAACACAGCCACCCAAAACCACACACACCCCTTCCATTACAGTGGGGGAACACGGTGGCAAAACGGGGCGACCCGCCACCACCCGCCACCACCCACCACCACCACCACTTACTCTCCTCCCTTCCTTTAACACCGCCAACAATATCGTCAAACAGCAGCAGCGGCAGCGGGCTCTGGCGAGCATTGGGTAAGCACGGCCCTGAACATACGCCGAGCCAAGATAAGAAAAAGGGTCCGTGGTGGGTGGCGGGGGTGGTGCAGGGGGTGGGTGGATGGCGACTGCTATCAGCTGTGGGTAAAAAGTCGCACAACCTCTAAACATTGCTGAGGACGAGGGTGCGAGTGAGAGAGAGGAGGGACTGGGATGCGGGGACATTTATTTGTGCTCGCCAAACGAACGTCGTTGTTCTGTTTCGTTTAATTTGTTTGTTTGGTCGCCCTGAATGGATCCGGTGGGCCGGATTTTGTAGCGAGGAGGCCTTTGAATGATTTCCCTCGATTTTTTAAAGGAGGAATTCTGTTAAGGTTTCAGGTAAGACTGTTTTTGTTGTTGTTGTTGTGTGGATCGAATTTGTCGTGCGTTTTAAATTCTCAATTTACAGTGTGTTGAGTAGCTGCTTTAACACGTAATACGCGTTCGTTAAACAAAACATATTCAAAGTACTTTAAAACTGTTGCAAAAGTAAAGAGTGTGTCTTGTAAGATATAACTAGAATTTATGTTGATTAAACATGTTATTTTATGTTCAAATGTATACACATCAATGACGTGTACTGCACACAAATGCGAAACATTTACAACATAATTGGAAAAGTTGCGTGTGATTAAATCTATAAATATAGTGCAAATTTATCAGTGAATATCGGTTGAACTAACATGTGTACTGAAAGGATAGATAGTTGAAAGTTAACAAAATCCATGTAGATATATATATATATTTTATGAACACGGAAGGTTAGTTGTTGGCTTTATGCTTTCTTATGCCACCTGAAAATACATACTCCCAGTATCCGCAATGATGTTGGAGGTGCCATTCACGGATCCTATTATCCGTGACTATCTGTAAAAAGAAAAACTTCTCATCCACACGAACAGCAAATGGATAAATTCGGATAATAGACTTTGCTTGTGCGTTAAATAGATGCGGGTAATAGGAACGTATCTTAAATGAAACTTTAAAAACACAATTTTTTATTTGACAAGGCAAGACCCACTGAGTTATGTATTTATTTTTCAGAAGCGATCTGGCCACAAACGATAGCTCAACGAAAGTTATCGTAGCAGCCAAATACTCCAAACGCATGTTTATAAATATGGAGGGAAAAACCGGAGGACCCGGAGAAAAATCCACGCAACCACGGGGAGAGAGAGAAACGTGCAAACTCCAAATATACAGCAGCAGGCGGCAGGGTCGGGATCGAACCCCACGACCTCCTGTATACCAGGCGAGGTAGTTAACATCTCCTAGCCACCATGATGATGATGAGAGAGAGAGACACGCAAACTCCAAATATACAGCAGGTTGCAGATTTCGGGATCGAACCCACGACCTCCTGTATACCAGGCGAGGTAGTTAACATCTTCAAGATGACAGGAGTTTCCACTTATACATTTCAGCTGCGTGTAACGAGAGATGTGGATGATAGGGGCACAAACAAAAGGGGTTCTACTCCATTCGGTTAAATATTGGAGTGCCGGCTGGGGTAGTCTCCAGAGCCAGAGAGAGAATGCAGACAACTACGAGATATATTCTTTGGGTCTTTCAGTAAAGTCACGTAGTTAGGTTGAAAGAAAATAACAAAAAACTACGACGTTTCGATCACAACACAAGCGATCGTCATCAGGAGGAGACGATAAAACTACGTGACTTTACCGAAAGACCCACAGAATATGAATTCCTGCAGTCACGAAAGCTTTAAGTCAAGGTTACGAGATGTAGTTACTTTACTATGTTTTACACCGTGACGTTTTGAAAATCCATAGATATAGTTTTAGCTGGCATTATGAATAAATACTGATAGGTTCTTCGGGGCCGTCTCTACAGCTATCCGATGGGATTGTGGGTTGTGCCTCGTGTCCTTCAGCGTAATGTCCGACGTTTCAGTGCTATGCATAACCGAGTTGACAAAGTGAGCTGCTCAATTCAGTTCCTGAAGTAGGTCCCAGCACGTGGAGCAGAAACGTCTGACACCTTTGCCGAACGAAACGTGGCACGGCCAAATAACCTTTTGGGGAGTAGCATGTGACCACTTTTCCTCTGATCGACGCTGGGTACAGGACCAATATTTGTCAGTGAGTTTTTTTTTATGATTATGATATTGTCGGTTACGTTTAAACAAAACTACGTGTCTCTCTGCCCAAATGAACATTGGGGGTGGCACTCATCATTGTGGGCTTGGGCCAGTGGTAGAGATTCCACATTCCACTGGTAGGACCGCGTCTAGGAATAAAGATTACTTGTTGACTTCCCCGCGAAAAGACAGAGAGAGATATTTATGAAAGTAAAAAAAAATCGAACATCAAAATAACAAACGAATTGGTGTTTGCCGAACGCGTTAGCCCATTACGTGTACGCAATTTCTCATCCTTTGCGATGTGAGAAAAAAAAGAAGGGGGCCTTACGCCCGCAACTCTTAGTTTAATATTTACGTGTCAATTACGAGGCGGCGTTCGTTATTAATGGCAATGCTGGTGAATGTGTTCTCAGCCTGTGCTGCAACGGGGAGGGGGGACACACACACACACACCGGGCAAGCTCCCAGAAATCTCATTAGATATCCGCATTGAAATACACGTAGCGTGCAAACTAATACCGACTCCCCGCGTTATCGCCCCTGACACTTTCGTTGTGCTGCATTATCGGGGAACCTGCACCGCGCTAAGGCCCGCAGTTAGAATTATTTAGCGTGTCTTCTTCTTTTTCTCTCTTTTCCGCACCCCCCCCACCCGGTTCTCTCTTTCGGCAGCGTCTAAATTAAATGTCACAACCGGACAACTCTGAACAACGGCTCCGCACCACAAACAGCAATTTTATCATTGTTTAAGAGGAAGCGCTCTCTCTTTTTTCCTTCCAAGGGTTCCGATTGAGTTAGCGCGCGAACGCGGCCGTTGTGAATATTTCAAGAGCTGCCGCATAAAATAACCGCGTCGTTTGAGCCATTGCGACGTCTTGCAACTCCACGATCCTTTCATTTGCTCGCGACCGTTAAACGAGACGTGCGTTCCAAAGGCGCCGACGCTCCATATGTAGACAAATATATTTTTTAAACGGCGCTCCTTTTATCGCACGGACGTCAAATTTGTTTCTGAAATCCACGACGAGGATTTACGTTGCATCGGTATTCACGTCCGCCCATGAGCTAGCCCCCCCCCCTGCCCCCCCCCCCCCCCCCCCCAGTTATTGCACGAGTTTGCGTCTGTAGTCGGCTCTATGACAATTACCGAATTGAAGCGTTGACATTAGTTTGCGATGTGAATCGGTAGCGAACTAAGCGGGAAATGTCACTTCAATGGACGGCTGGCGTCGTTTTGGCCACTGGCGTCGCAAAGTTCACGCGCGGCGCGGAGGAAGCTACGGCATTTCAGTAGCGGTGTTAGGGTAAGCAACTTGGGGATGTGATCGGGCCCGAGAAAGTGATTATGGGTGGGACACGTGTGCAAGATGCAGGAGGAGAAGTTACCAAGCTGGGCATGGGGATGGCAGTCAGTGACCAATGGGGAAAACCTAAAGTCAGGTCGTAAGATACTTTAAGAGCAGATGTTTGGTGGGCGAGGTGTAGACTGAGAAACATCGGTAGGATCTAGTAGTGGCCAAGTGAGGTGTGGTGGCATTAACCACAATTGTCCAGATGATATCTTGACCGTGATCTGGCAAAGCAAAATGAACGCTTTGTAAACAAATTGAGACGCCAAATGCGCGTTGCGTTTTTGTGGAATTTACTCTGCCCAAACGACTCGGGGAAAAAAAGAATTAACTGCATCTTAGGAACTACATTGTCCTTTGTTTACCCCGAGAAAACGTGACCAATTCTCAATGTTCGCTCTCAAGAGGTTCCTGTTTGGAAAGTTTCACCGGTTGCTTTGTTTGCGCCGACACTAAATGAGGAAGTTAATCCTTGCTGGATGGAGAAAACACCACACGTACGAGAGAGCAATACCCAAAAATACCCACAAACAGGTCCTTGGCCTACTTGCTGTGCTGCTGGCTGCTGGGAGTCTCTGCATGATCCACCAATCCCCCACCACCAAAGGCTGAATGCACAATGGGTGATCGTCACCCATGATGGCATTTACCGTAGCTACTGGCCCCTGGTAACATCGTATTGATGTTAAGAACAGTTAAGTGGCCTTGGACAAGACGCATTGTCGGAAGGGATGACGGCTGCTGGTAGAGGCTAATGACGGAATGGCAGCTAAAGTAGGGAAATATTCCCTCGCCGAAGAGTACAACAGGGACGTGATGATGTGTAGAGCGCCACGCTGGCTAGGAGATGTTAACTACCCCGCCCGGTATACAGGAGGGCGTGGGTTCGATCCAGACCCTGACGCCTGCTGCTGTATATTTGGAGTTTGCGTGTCTCTCGCTCTCTCATCATCATCATCATGGTGGCTAGGAGATGTTAACTACCTCGCCCGGTATACAGGAAGTCGTGGGTTCGATCCCGACCCTGACGCCTGCTGTATATTTGGAGTTTGCATGATTCTCTCCCCATGGTTGCGTGGACTTTTCTCCGGGTCCTCCGGTTTTTCCCTCCACATTTAGAATCAACATGCGTTTGGACAATTTAGTTGCTATACATATCCACGTGATAGCCATGTCGCTTCTGAAAGAGCTGTATATCTCAGTGTGCTTTACCTAGTAAAATACAAACAAAGTTGAGTTTTTAATAGTTTTCTCTATGTATATTTAATTATATGTATATATATATGAAGACGCCCTGTTGACACGACCAGTCCATGGGTGGTTGCTCCTTCTCTGTCGCTCCGAGACTTCACAACCCCCTCACTGTTTGTATACACACTCCGCCATCGTCCCACCGTTCATCGCAACATTTTTTTTGTCTTTCCCCCAGATTGTTTTGCTAATGTATATCATTTTACGCGATGGCTGTATTTATGATTAGTAATATATTGTTGTTATTTTTGGGTCACATCGCCACGTATGTAATACGCGTGTCGTAAACCCCTCCGCCACGGCCAATGAACGAAGCCGTCACGCGATGAACAAACGTGGCCAATTTATTACCGCATCAGCTGCAGCGCCAGCCGGTGTTGTTGGAGAGCCATCACAGTTGGTTACGAATACTCCGCAAGTACAGTAGTTGCAACCAGCATCGCCAGGCAGCTGCCATGAATCTGCTTTGTTTACGAGAAAAAATACGCCCAAGAACCCGGTCGAATGTATGTATGTTGAACTTCTTTTGCACCGTACGTAACCAACCGTGCTAATCGGAGGTGCACACGTGCCCGAAATTCGTATTGTAACCCAGGTTTCTCAGCGATACCAGCACAGCGCTGTGTGTATGTTGAAGAAGTTCAACATTTCGATTTAAAGCTTTCGTGACTGCAGGGATTCATCTTCTTGGTTCTTTCGGTAAAGTCACGTAGAAGGGAAGTAATAAAATAATAAAAATAAAACATAATAAAAGAATTCTCACGACGTTTCGGCCACAACGCTGTCTCCCCGACAGACCTGGTCTTCACCTGAGGACGGCTGCTTGCGTTGTGGCCGAAACGTGGTGAGAATTATTTTATTATGTTTTATTTTTATTATTTTATTGCTTCCCTTCTACGTGACTTTACCGAAAGAACCAAGAAGATGAAGTGCAACATGCGTACAGCGCTCTACCCCGAAAACATCTCCATTCCCATGTTTGAGTCCACGCCCTCAAGGCCCTGCTCATCCCCCCCCCAACCAAGATCGACTGCCTCGCCATCCACCGTGTCCTTTGCCGTTGTCACTGCACCGTAGCCTCCCCCCCCTCCCCTCCCCGTACCTGCCACACCATTGTCCCACCTTCCCTCCCTTCCTCTCTCGTCGTCATCCACCGCTGTCCCAGGATCGTGCTTGCACAGGGCCACGAAGCACCGTTTAATTATATTGCTTTTGTTCAATTGTTTTATTTTTTTTCCTCTTAATTGCATTTGCGTGAACTCAACGTGGATTTCTTTTCACTCTCGTCTCTGTTATAAAACAACGTTTGTAGCCATATACTCCATGATGGTGTTCTTCACTGCAAGGCCCACATGCCACTTGTGGCCCATGGTGGCCTTCAGTGCGGCTCCTGACGTGCGCCCCCCCCCCCCGACAATACACAACACGTGACAACAACACCCCCCGTCATCGTGCTGCTGTCAAACCACAATGGTTTCAAATGTGGGGCGGCCCTCACACTGAAGTCCTATTGGCGACAGTGCCCCCTCGACCCCACTCTAAAAAGTGAGTGAAGAAACACTGCTCGATTACAACGTTCGTCTGATTTTACAATTGCCGGCGACGCACCTAATGGAAAGCGCAACTCCTGACGTGGCTCGAGACTCGGGCGTGTCCTTGTTTTAGTTTAATTCCAGGCCACCCGCAGCCCAGATTGTGACCTTTCTCTTCTCTTGTACCCGCAGACGACCGCTTCGTCTCGCCGCCGCGATGGCGTCGGTGAAGCCGTCGGTCGCGCTGGCGCTGCTCGTTTGCTGCGCTACGGCAGTCGGTGCGCTGCCAACTGGCTGCACATATGAATCAAAAGACAAGCCGACCACTGCCACCTGCAGAGAGTTCTCATACCTCTCAGAGCTGCCCAAAAATGTCACGCACCTGATTCTGCACAACAGCCTAACCAACGTCCCCGTGGGCTCTCTGGACGAACTGTTAGGCAGTCTCACGGCGCTAACCATCGAGATGAATTTAACGTGCGACTGCAACACAATGTACCTGAAGAGGCTGGCGCAAGACAACTTGAAAATCAACGGAGAAAATTGCACGTTCCTGGGCGGGCAAAAAGACGTGACTTCTCTGACAGGAAACGAGTTTCCGGACGTGTGTGCCACGGCCCCGCCGCACTGCTCCGAGATGCTCCTGCGCGACTCGGGCCTTCACATCGCCTACCTGGTCTTCCTGGTGCCGCTCGTCTACAGCTACCTTGGCCTGCGGCCCCTCGTGAGCCATCGCCGCGCCGGTCGCCACAAGGGTGGGGACGCTGAGTACAAGCGCATGAGTAATAAATCGTCGTCCGCTCGGTCCGCTCCGTCCGCTCCGCCCGATGAGAAGATTTACGAGGATCTGGATACCAAGTTGTGATGAGCGGTGGGCCCTCAAGAGGCGGCGGATGGGAGGGACCGGTGTTGTGGGTCAGGGTCGGGAGCATGCGGGAGAGGTCGGAGGTCGTGATCGCCGGGAGAGGTTGGCAGCGGTGCTGTTATGTGGACGAAATTTGGCGATGAAAATGTATTGGGCGTGTTTTTATTATTATTATATATATTTTATTTTAGTCAATGATTACGATAAGTGGATGGGGAATAGAGAATTTGGAAGCAGTGATATTTCTTTTTTTACTTAATCATGCGTGAAAATATTCATCATTGTTAAAAAATATATATATTTTAGTCAATGGTGACTATGACCGGGATAAAGTATTCAAGCATGGCTATGACTACCACTGCCCACAACATACGTAGGCATGACTGACTGTGACCAGGCGACATTTACTGGTCTAAATGAAGATGCAGATTAAGATAATTTAGTAACGCTATTAGAGAACCTCAGACTATGACTCAAATAAGAAAAGAATGTGACTAAATTCACACTCGCTGGAAGCAAATGGTAGGGAATGAAGGTAGGTGGATATTTGGATCGAGGTATTTGGAACACATTGCTTTTAATGAATGGTTTGGAAAGATTACATGGCCATGAGAGTTTTTTTTTTTTTTGGCGTTAGATCGTGTAAATATAAAATGCGTCATTAAACCCGCCACAACCGGGCACAGCCAATTAGTACACGCATTTTTTTTACGCAATCTCTCCCAAAAAAAATCGCCTATGGACAATATTGGTCGCGAAAGCCTACGTGTTAAGATGACATGGAGAAGATGGAAAATGGTGGTTTTGGATGGGAGATTGGGAAATATATAGAAAATGCCTTTGGACGAAACAAATAATATATGGTCCAACATACTAAAGCACAGCGCCACATTTGTCTTGAGCCATTGAAAGTCCTTTGGGTAAGCAGCGTTCAGCTTGAGAGGGCCACCTTGTAGTCCCATGGGTTGGGAATTAAGGAATGGGGGACACGAGGATATTGAGAGATTGGGGAGATCAATGAATAGATTTTAAAGTGAGACGTCCGGAATAAATGCGATGAAAAGTTGGGAATGGCAGATTGGTTGTGAATGGATGGGAATGAAAGTTGTGGATCAGCAAGTGAGTGTTTTGGAATGAAGGCATTGACGGGATGAATTAATGACTGGGAAAGGGAATTTACGTTTTGGAAAGAGAGTTTATGTGAATGAATAGTTGGGAATTGCAATCTGGGAATGAGAACGTGAACCTTGGTCAGGAATTTTGGCCACGTAATGGAAACGTTCAGTGCAGTGTCCCTTTTAAGTAGGCAGGTAAGTTCTCATAAAATGTCATTCAATATCCGTCTGGACATTCCAAAGAGGTAATAAACCTCATTGTTAAAAACTCAATTCAGTCAGTATTTAAGTCATTATTTCTTCGTCACTGTTCAATTTGAGTCTGACGAACTTTATTTTTTACACTTTAGAATTTTGGACTGAATGGAAGTCGCAGATGATTACATATAAAGAGGGGAAGATGTTTGTTGAATGCAATATTATCCTGAATCTCTGTGAATAATTGGTATAACCTCTATTTGGACTATTATAATAATTATATTATTGATGTGTACATTATTTCGTGGCATGTTGTACGGTAAGCTTTGTTTTTTGTGTGTGTTTATATTTGGCTTTCGTATTTTTACTTGAACGATAAACATGGCAATGGTTAAAAAAAACACGTTCCATCAGGAGAACGACGCTTGCTCTCAGTCTGCCCTTATCGGACGCATGCAGACGATTGTGACTAAGCCAGTAACCGGTGGAAACTAGGACTGTGATCTGGAAGGGCGAGAGAGAGAGACATTTTGGCACAAATATAGCAGAGTTTATGCTTACAACCAGAGAACGTTTTAAATTGTGATACTTGAATTTGCCCGCCCCAAAGGATGGTCTAGAGACTGCAAATGTCACGATACGCAACCGACAAAAGTACGACCTCTATTACCAGTGAGGCAACGTAATTCACCTCTCGCGGAGTGCGACACTAAAGTCAAGAGAGCGGGCAGCGATGGAGGAGGGCAGGCGACCGAGACGGTCACCAGAGTGGGCCCCAGAAGTCGGTGACCAAGGCATAAAGGCGGATTGTGTTGGATCGTAGATACTTTTCCTCCGCTGGCGCATTCCAGCTGTATCAGCGCGGTGACTTTTGTACCGTGCCGAGCCAGAACGAACCCGTGAAACGTTGGCCTCCAAAGACATCTGGGCCAGGAGCAGGGCTAACGAATGACTCGTTCGTTGGGACGACAGGGCGGACCTTCGTGTGTCGTCTGCTCGCGTCTCAACCCGTTGTCCATTCCGCGTGAAGTCGGTGGCACGGCTCGGCTTTCAGTGGAAAAGAAACAACCTGGCGCCTCCTGAGCCACCGCCGCCGCCGAGTTGGCATGGGGCGCAGCTCCGACGCGGCTCTGAGTGTGCAGTGGAACAATGTAGAGAGGTATTATAATAATAATAAGAGTGGCCCCTGGAGGTCGGGCGTCAACCGTGCAGCAATTGTAGAATCCGGCCGAAGGTAACGACGAGCAAGCGTCGTGGACGTGAGCAGCGGCCGGTCTCTCCGAATGGGACGAAACAATTCTCTGCGGACGGAGGACGTCCTGGTGGGGGGGGGGGGGGGGGCGGCTTCTGAGCTGCAATGCCATTGCCATGGTTTATTTAACAAGGGGTTTCCAGAAAATCGCAATAACGCTTCGTGAAATGCATTTCCGAGAGGAGCAAGTGGGGGGTGAGGTGGGTGTGGGGGTGGGGGGGTGTGTGTGCGGGGGGGTTGCGCAATGTTGGTTTGTTATTCACCGTTTGTGCGTCGGGCACACATCTAGCTCCCCGTGTCGTTCGCGCTGTGCCTGCAACACGCACACACACCGCACTTTTTAACCCTCTTCCTCTTAACGCGTCGGTTTGTCCACCAACAAACACCGCGATTCGTACTTCAAGTTTCCAGGGGGTCGAGGCAAATGGTGTGCACATCGCCAACCGTGCTAATCGCGGGTGTGCGGGGGAAGGACAGCCAGCGTGGTTGTGCACCCTCATCCGCCTGACACGGGCAAACACAATTCTAAGTTGTCTGCGTGGTCATCGGTGGGGTGCAAACGCGGCTGTCGAGGAACGCTTCGTGTACTACTCGCCGCTCACACGAGTCGAACTTGCGTGCTTCGGTGAACGGTAAAACGTTCCACGTGGTCAATCTTCAGACACAGCGAAAGGAACGTTCCTTTAATTGCAGCCTCTTTGGTGTCGGGCGACAAACACGCACGGCCACTCGAAAGTGGAAAGCAGTAGCGACATTATTTTTGCAGTCTATTTTTTTTTGACATTGTAGGTATGCACAGCGGCTTTCCTTTACGCAATTACTGTTTAACGACCGGTTTATTTCGTGAAAACCTATAGTGCGGCAGTCACAAAAAAAACTCGCCGCAGTAATCGCGTGGTCACGTTCACAGCCAGCGTACATCTTTGAATCGAGCACTGGAGGCGAGGGTTGATGGATCACACAGCTGTTGTGAAACTCCCTTCCCCGTGGGCGTTGAGGAGGCGCATTGCCCTGTCTCGACAGGAGAAGGGGCTGATGTAAAATGTGGACTCCACCTGGGATAGAGTGTTCCTCCCTCACGTGCGTGGGGTTTTATCCAGGTGCTCCAGTCACCTCCCGCATGTCCCCACTCGTTAATTGGCCGATGACTCGGCGCACACGAGGGCCGCAGAGCCTTGGGCAGTGGTCGGCACCTTCTCAGCTTGCCAGCGGTTCCTCGCGTCTCCGAGTCGTTCCCTCTCTACGAGACTCAACACGTAGCGCGAGCGTTAGGAGTTGAAATTGTATGTCGTTATACGTTTGGAGTATGAGCATGAATCGATCGGCCGAGAACGCCTTAATATAGAGAGGACCACAGAGCTGGGGGGAGGGGTGAGTGTGTGGGGGGCGGGGTAGGCTTGGGGTTGGTTGGGGGGGGGGGTAAAATTTGGCTGCCTTTTCCGCTTTGCCTGTGCTTCCTCCTCGCGAGCCTCTGAGTTGTTTCCCACCGCGGCGTTACAGTCGCGAGCGTCATTTACGATTCACTTTCCTTACACGCGCCGAGTCGCGACCGTCAAAGGCCTGTGAGGTTTTTGTTGTTTTTTCCCGGATGACATCCACGCGGCGCTCCGCTGCCGTGCCGCGCGCGTTGTGGTTTCGGCGATCGTCACGCGTGCTTCGAGTGCGGAATCCCCCCCGCGATTGTTCTAGCCGCACCGAACACGGCCGCTTGAAATCGCAATAAAAGAGAGATTTGTGAAGGTCGGTCCTGCGGTGCGCGTGGCTTCCTCGCTATTCACCTAATTGGCTAAGATAGTTGAGTTACGCTTGACTTGGGTTTTTTTCCCCTCCTCTGGAGGGCGTCCCCGCTTTTGACGTCTGACCAATTCCGTGCCGAGCACCTTTGCGCGTGAGAAGATAGCGGATCGCGGAGCGGAAACCCACTCGCGCGCACGCTTATCGTTTGCCCACCTGTCAAGTGATGCTATGGAATCGGCACAGGCTGCTGTAGGCCTCTTGATCGTCGTGGTCGTTTCATGTCAACGTGTCCTTCGTTCGGATACACAAGTTACGATCTGCCTTCTTAAATGCGCCTTCGCGGCAGTGAGTGATGGGTTCCGGCGACTGCAGCGTCCGCAACATTTCTTGTTTGTGAGAAAGAGAAAAAAGGGAAAAACTAAAAAAAGGAGGAAAATTATAAAAAGAAATAAACAGGAAGAAGAAAAGAAAAAAGGGGACAAAAAGAGAAACGAGGAAAAAATTAAAAGGAAAGATTTTTTTTTAGATAAAGGGAGAAAAAGGGAAAAATAAAAAGGGGGAAAAAGGAAAGAAAATACGAATTAAAAAGAAAAGAAAATGAAGAAGAAAATAAAAAAGGAAACGTATAAAAAAGAAAAAGGGAAAAAGGGGGGAAATAAACTAAAAATAAAAAAAGAAAGGAGGAAAAAAGAAACAAAAAGGAATAAAGGGAAATAAAAAAAGAAAAGGGGGGAGGAGAAAATCTCCTATCCGTGACAGAATTCAATTTGCACAAACGATCCTATTCCCCCCGCCGCACTTAGCGACCGCCTTCGTCCGCCGGGCTGTCCGTCCGCCGGCCGAAATCAACACGCGCGTGGACACGGGGGCGGGCCCCCCCCCGCCCTTCCCGAACTCCCACCACCCCCCCCCCCCCCTCGTGCGTTTCCCACGGGAGATGGGAGGCACGAAAAGTCGTCAATGCGAATGTCAAACACGCTGCTCTGGTCTCAGCAGCTCTCACAACCGTTGCAACAAATGTCCTGGGCACCTCCCCCCCACCTCTCTCCCCTACCCTGCCCCCCCCCCCCACCTCACCACGTACTCCACACAATCTCTCCTCTGTAAAAGGGAGAAGAAACGTGCAAACAAGAAAGAAACGAACCACAACAGCTGGAAACGGCGATTTAAATGGCACGGGGGCTGTTGGAGTCAGATAAAAACGCCCGCGGTTTTATGTTCTGCGGGTGGGATTGGGGTGGGAGGTGGGGGTGGGGAGTGATTGGGGGCGATGGGGGGAGTTACCCACCACGGTGAATGGTGAGTGCTGAAAAATGCTTTTTTGTGCGCCTACCACCCAACCTTTTTTGGCAGATTGTCGGAGACAACTACAATGCACTGCGCTCAAATAAAAAGGGCAGTTCGTGGTAGCGGTGACGGGGGTGAGGTCGAAGAAGAATAAGAAGAGAAAGAAGAGGAAGGAGGGTAAGAAGAAACTGCTGGCCACGTGGGTTTCGAAGGCTCGCAATTGCCCCGTCAGAGACGCTGCGTCCAGCACTGCCAAGAGGCTGGGCCCCAAAACCAGCTACCTGGCTCTCAAAACGGTTGGATTTGCCCTTCCGGGAAACAAAGACGCACGAACAAAATCGAGCCCCACCAAGTGTGGATAAGAGTCCACTATGCCGTGACTCCAGGCTTGATAAATAAATAATAACTAAAATTGTGACATCGTCATCCAAAAAAAAGAGTTGACTCACTGCCTGCTGCTGTAAGCGAACTTACAATGGAAATATCTGCGTTTTATTCAATTGCAGCAAAAGCCCATTTGGCACAAGAGCGATAACGATTTAATTCTCTCCGATGTGCGGTTCAGGTTGCACCACGCGTTGTTGGTGGGAAGGATGTGCGACGTTTCGCTCCATATCCTGGGAACTTGTTCAGGTATTACCGAGAAATGCATGTTAGAGCTGCACAGCACAACTGTGTAGGTCAGCGCAGCAGTAAGAAAATAGATGATCACAAAATTATAATTGTGGCTTACTTCCAATGATTCTGCTATGCTAGCAGTGGAAACGGAACATTCTTATGGCAAAAGGCCATTCTCAATAATCGCATACATTGCGCGTAATTGCAATACTTATATTCTAATAATCACTATGTTCCCGTAAGATATGTGACTGAGATCTCTGCATATTAGTACGGAGAACATTGTATTTTTCCCTCCAATTATATTTCTCATTTGGCAGACTTCGCACTTGCATTCAAGTTCTATTAACGCTTGCATATTTTTGTGGTTCGCCCACCCCCCTCACATACAATGGCACATTATCACACGTCGCTGGAGTCTTGTTTAAATATAGAATTTCCCTTGCAAGTGGCCAGATGTATTTGTAACGAATACTATTCTTACACACGCAACACTGTAAAACCTTACTCGTTTGTTCTTTCGGTAAAGTCACGTCGGTTACCGAAAGAACCAAAGAGTATGGATTCCTGCAGTCGCGAAAGCTTCAAATCAAGATCACAAAACCTAATTCTAGATGTGAAGCTTTCGTGACTGCAAGGATTCATATGCTTAGGTTTTTTCGGTAAAGTCACGTAGGTAAAAAAATAAAATTTAAATTAATAAAAGTAAAAATAAAATAAAATAAAAGTCACGACGTTTCGGAGGAAACACAAGTCTCCGTCATCAGGTGGGACCGTCACAGCCAGATTTGCTGTATCAAGTGACGGAGACTTGTGTTGCCTCCGAAACGTCGTGATCTTTATTTTATTTTACTTCATTAATTTTAATTGCATTTTTTTACCTACGTGACTTTACCGAAAAAACCTAACAATATAAATATCACAAAACCTGCTCACGCCACTACTGGCAGAAGGGCCTCCACCAGACGGAGCTCTAGAGGTACCTTGGCCTACTCTTTCGTGCCGGCCAGACGTCTTTGAAGAGGTGGAACAACCCACACTTTTACCCACACCACACACGGCCTGCCAATCATCTCGCCGTGATGAAGCAGATTTAAACTGCCTGCTGGATGAGACGACGGGGGTAGTTACGAATCGTGCGACATTGGAAAACACATTTTTTAAATGCATTTATTTTAGATGTGACGGCACAGACTAGAGTTGAACTTAAATTGGCGTTAACATTGTTCGGCTGTTGTCGCATGGGTAGGTTGTCGTTGGCAAGAAGACGTGTAAATTATTCTGCAGTGTGCACGATGTCTCTGTGGATATTTGGTGACAGAATGTTCGCTAGAACAGGGAGTCCGGATGATTGGTGTCAGTTTGAATGTGCCGCTGATGATGCTACTCACGATTTAATTCAGCTGTGCAACGAACAGTTTGGTGTACGAGCTCCAAGACC